CCCCTGACCGTTCCCAACTCCCCCAGATCCCTCAGCGCTGGCTCAGCCCGACTCTTCAACCCCTCCAGGGATCCCGGGGACTCCCCCCTGCCCTGGGCAGCCCATTCCAACGCCCAACAGCCCCTTCTGCACAGAAATCCTTCCTCAGAGCCAGCCTGACCCTGCCCTGGGCAGCTTGAGGCCATTCCCTCGGGGCCTGGCGCTGGGGCCTTGGCTCCAGAGACTCATCCCCCCTCTCTGCCCCCTCCTGGCAGGGAGTTGCAGAGGGTCTCTTCAAGCCAACTTAATAAAAATCTCAGCTTTTAATTCTGAAGAATTTAGGATTTCATTCTCGTGTCAATAAGCCCAAACCTTCCTGCCAAGCCCCACACTGACACACCTGGACTGTGAAGCTCAAAAAAAACCCAAAACAACCCAAACAAACAAAAACTGTGCAACTACAGTTCTGTACAGCTCGCCCCAAACATGGGGCAAGCGCCATCTAGGACTTAACCAAAACCGTGCGATTTAAGAATCCGAAGAGCCCAGAGAAGAGATAAAGCAGCGTTACCCCACTTCTAGAGAACCAGCTCCCCCCACAGCACGAGCAGAGGCTCAAGAGGGACCCCGAGCTCTGCGATCCTTCAGCCGGGGCCACGCGGGGGCTGGACCCTGCCCTGGGAAACGTAAAGTCTCACCGAGTGAAACTGCCCGAGGTGGCAAATGGAACACCCTGGCAGTCAGGATTGTCAATAGTCCCTTCCCCAAACAAACAGCACCCCTGGCACTAGCACCACCAAACGGAACCTCAACCTTCAAGTGAGTGCAGTGATTTTTCTAAGCGAAAAGCCCTCGAGTTTATTTTGTGAAATAAAAGGTACCTGATCAAACTCTCTCCCAGCAGCGAGCTGAAGGATGTAAACAATGGAATCTCCTTTCATCGGCGGTAAAGGTTCCCATGTGATTTCGTAAGTGTTTTCTTCCAGCTGGTTTGCTTTGGGTGCTGGAAAAAAAAAAAAGTGATTTGTTGGTATTTTAGAAAAAGAGAATAATGGTCTCTACAAGTGGTGTTCTTTTTTCAGTCAGAAGGTCCAAAATGGTCAATTATTACCGTGACTCATTTTCACAGTTATTGTGGCACAGGGGCACTGGTTTCAGTGACAAGGAAGTTCTCCTGCTCCAGCCTGAAGTACACTTTGTTTTTGCACTTTTCCCATTTAGAATGTTTCAGCCCCAATGCAAGTGCCTGGGCAGTAAATCGAAAAGCTTAAGGTTTTTCCAATGTACTGGTTAACAAGGTGGGGGGAAAAGTGTCATTCCTAGAGGTAACAGTCATTTCAATGATTTTAAGCAATTAAGGTTTGTTTCATTCTCCTTTTCCTTTGCTGTGTTTCATGACATAAGCTTAAAAAAAATGATCACTAATATTTGTGGGTTACACTTGTCTTTTCAAGCTGGCATCTAATGCTTGTACAGGTGAGCAAGCACTTCGAATCGCTGCAGAAAACAGCATTTATGTCTGGGTATCTCCAGATTTTACAAGTGTTATAAACAATCAGTGAATTTTCCTGCAGGAAATCAGCATTCTGATCCGATCTTCAGAATGACTTTCCCTAATGGCAATCTTTAATGTTCGTATTAAAAACTGCGGCTCGGAGGAATGTATTTGTGTTTTGTCATTTACCTACGGGCTGTTGTAACTGCTATCAGGTGATAGATAACCCTGAAAAATGACTTTCCAGTTGCAAGAGGGTAGAGGAAATCCTCCCTGCACGCTGGTCCTGCCCCAGCAGAGCCTCTTACGCCCAGAGAAAGCCCCTCAGGGCTGGGTGCTGTTCCCCATCCCACAAAGGCCCGGGCAGGGCGCTGGGCTGGGGGGGCCAGGTCCCTGCGATGGCTGTAGCCAGGCAGGGGCTCGCAGCCGTCCCTGGCACAGCGTGAACTCACCTTTCAGAGACGCGGGCGGAGACTTGGTTGTAGTGAAAGCGTAAACTTCAGAAAACCCTCCCTCTCCAGCATCGTTATACGCCTGGATTTTAAAATAGTACGTAGTGGATTCGCTGAGCCGCTGTACCTTGTATGTGTGACAAGGACCGTTATAAACAGTAACAAACCTGGAAGAAAACCACAGAGTACGCACAAATTACAAATCTGTACGTCGCTACAAATCCTACACAGAACACTTTCACCTCTAACTCCAGAACAAAACACTGACGCTACGTGGCGGGCGCTCCGGGCTCCTCCACACGATGGTTTTAGGTGGTTTGAGCTCTGCTGCAGTCATCAGCAGGTCAGGCCGTGCCCGCAGTCAGCACCACATGCACCTCACACTGTGTGAGGCTTAATTCAGCCTCGGGAAGTGTTCAGAGGGCCTGGCTGGGCACTGAGCTACAGCCACAGGCAGGCTGCTGCTGACGCGACTGCTCTCTCGATCTGAATCAAGAGAATAAACCTGGTACGTACCAAAGCAGTCGGAATTTCAAGTTAAAAACCAGCCGTCAACCCCATGTTTTGTATCTGCAAACTGGACTTCGGTTTAGTTTCCAAAAAATAAAAAAATAGCCACATAGGAAGATGGTAAGATATTACTATTTAAATGAATAGTATTTACTGTTTACAAGCAAATACTAGTGTAGCAGCATCAGGAGCATTTCTGGTTGAAAGACTGGATGCAAAAATATGAACTAAGGGGCAAATTTTGAGGTGCCCAAATGACTTAGCTGGCTGAACGGGAGCCAGCAGTGTGCCCAGGGGGCCAAGGAGGGCAATGGCATCCTGGCTTGTGTCAGCACTGGCGTGGCCAGCAGGGACAGGGACGGGATCTGAGCCCTGGGCT